TTGTCCTTCCTCTTATCTTCCAAGCCGTTGTTGGACGCAACTGACATTTCCCCATAACGATGTTGTATAACAACCGGGGTGACGGACCTTCCGCGCCTATCAAGCAGTGAGCACGCGAGTCCTGTTCATGACGTCAAATCCACCGGATGCCATAATAAACTACACAGAATCCACACTACACACCTACCAGATGATTTCATTCAGGCAGGACTGTCGAAGGGCGTGGACGAAGCCTCTTTGCGACAAATCGTTATCTTATTGAAGACAAGCTACAAAATGTAATACCTTGGAAATGCCTGTTTATCTTTTAATACTTTTTAATAGCTTAATTTGCTGAAATTGATTTATCAACTTTTATAATACTTCTAAGACCCGCGCGGAAGACCTGTTATAGTATACTCTTTATTTTTTGGGAAATATTTTGTTTGCTTTGTTAAGAATATGATAAGCATTAAGATCACAATATGGCTAGCGCTGTTTAATAAATTACAATTAATTTTAATATTACATTTATCTGAATGTACAACAAAAAAAGGTAAGGATATTTAATAAATGTTAGTAAACTGAACATGGGTTTAGTGGAAATGTCTTCAAAAATAGGGTAACATTTATTTAAAAATAGTAAAACCATTTATTTAAAATAAATAAAATAAGAGTACACAAGTTATAAATATAATAAGGCTGAAATTACTCTGAAAAATACAAATAAAGCTGGATTCGGATCAAATTGTTTCCTGCATCCACCTACCTTATAAAAGCTAATTCAAAATAAAATAAATGTGAGTGTACACAAGTCTTTATAATTGACATCTTGTTGTCCAATATGTCTATTTTTTTTGGAATTGGTGCTGTTACACTGCAGAATGTGTAATCTGCTCATAATAAAAGCTGACGCCCTCACCTCCTTATAGAGTGAGTAGAGGAACACTATGGTCTGCACCGTCTTCCCCAGCCCCATCTCATCAGCCAGGATGGTGTCGGTGCCCTGAGCCCAGGAGAACCGCAGCCAGTTCAGACCCTCCAGCTGGTAGGGGTGCAGCGTGCCCCCCGTGGCGTTAATATACCACGGCTGGTGCTCAAACTTGATGGTTGGCTGGAGATAGGACAAGACAAGACATACTTTATTAATTAGTGCACCCATGCACAAATGCATGCTTCAATGGACTGGTGTAAGAGTGACGCGACTGCCATGATTTGGCAAACTGGATCAGTTGGGGGTTCAATTCCTAGCTCAATGACACCTAGGCAAAGCCCAAAAGGTGAACCAGCACCTCCCCAGCTAACAATTTTCTTTTTTTTAACCAGTGACCATCCGATTCCCAAGCCAAGTCCCTACGAACCCGGCTACTGCTGCATTTGGTAAAGAAATATATCAACAGCAACATTAACCCCAATGTAAAGAAATACTACATATATAGTGTAGTGGCAAACTTTATATGTAGTGCAAACTCTAAATGTAGTGCAAACTTTATGTGATGTGCAAACTTTATATGTTACCTAATATGGTAAAACCAAATGCAGTAGTTCCATGATGATGTATTTTAGTTCATGTCCTTTGTTCAACTTATGATTAACCTTAAAAGTGTCTGGGGGTGGAGCACAGTGTCGTGAACAAGTTCCTGTGTTTGTTTCCCTGTTCCACAATGAGTTCCTGATTTCCTCAGTTATACAGTATCTGTCCTTGACCCACAATGAGTTCTTGCTTTCCTCACTTCTAACTGTCCTTGACCCACAATGATTTCCTGCTTCCCTCACTTCCATTTGTCTTTAACAAATTCCTGTCTTTAACCAGTTCCTGATTTACTATATTAGCAATTTACAGTTTCTGTTCCTCTGGAAAGTAGGCATAGCTTATCTCTCCATCCAACCCTGCCACAGTGACGGGTGACGAAGTGTTGTTGAACTGTCAAGATCCTATAAAACCTACACACACACTTGCCTCTGTGTGCACTCTTCCAGAATACTCTGTACTCAGTGAGACCTGTGCCTTCGAAGCTTTGAATAAAGAACCAGAAAGACAACTCTGTTTGTTTCACCAGTTTATTGATTGATCATTCTAATTGTATATCTCCACAGTATTGACTAGGTCTAAGATTTCCATAACAATAGTAGGACATTTAAAGTACAGCACAATTATTATAAAAAGTCATGATAATTAGTTTTCATATTGTGTATTCTGTGGATACTCTATCTATGGATATTTCTACCATTGACATGCATATATTAACTGTTTATTTTATTTTTAACTCATGTGCCTTGTTAACATGCTTCTGTAACAGAACAATTTCCCAATTTAGGATCAATACATTCCATCTGATCCAATTACTTTGGATCGTCTGAAACAAGCACTCTATGTCTTCCATAAACCAGGCAACCTATTAGACTTCTGTGATGAAAGTGAATGTAAATCTCCAAACTCACATCTATGATGGGAGCGTCAGGAGGGACCTCCCTCTTTTGATGGTCCTCTTTGAGTTTCTTTCCTTTCCTCACCACCAGGGGGCGTTGGTCCTCACCGAGTATTTGCTCCCTGGAAAATAACAGCAGCAGCAACATGATGAGCCAAACATCTGAAAGAGGGGCATCACACAGAGTAATCAGGGCAGAGGGGAAACAGCAGCATATGCTTTGTTTATTTATAAATTGCCGGGGTCTCATTCTAGTTATCCTCACTTTCTTTTGGGAGGGTTACTATAAAATAAAATCTGTTACATTTACTAATTACCTGTACATGAAATTCCAAGCCATTACCACAAGTTTTCCTCGACTTTAAGGAATGTATGGTCAATGGTCCTTATTTACACAGAATTACATCACATTTTAGAGTAAAAAAAGGCTAAGATTTGAAATGTGAATTTAGTTAGGATCAGAGGAACATTCGTTGTTGGATGTTCACATGATGGTTTGTGTCAAAGTTTCAATGTAATCAATGTTTTCTGTTACTACCAAAGCATGGTAAAGAACAACTATGGTTTCAATCTCTAACTCTCTTAACATTCTCATTGTTATCCAACCTGTGGTCCCAGTAAGAAGCTTTGTGAATTTCATATTCCGGGACGTCAAAGTCATCCCCTTCCCAGGTGCACTGGTCGTAGGGCAGGTCTCTCCACTTGATCAGGTAATGCACATCTCCGTCCTTATCGAAACTGTAAGAAAAAATGAACATATAACAAGAGAAGTCGGGGATTTTAGAGGGTTTGTTAACCAGTCAATATGAAAGCTCTTTGTTAATGGAAGATGACACATATTACATATGAAAACATAAAACCTATTTTCCTTGCTGCACTTGTAGCTGCAAACTTTGAGTTGAACTTTTTTAATGTATGATTCGATTTCAGAGTATATCTCTTATAGTCAAACAAAAGGATAGTACAATAAACTTGTAGAAGTAATCTTCAGATTTGAGTCAATTGTGTGAAGCCATGCTGATGATAATCATTTTTTTCTCATAGGAAAACCTCTGTACCTTGATTGTCTTTCTTTCTGTTATAGGTGTGTTGAGATGTGGTAAATCCCATAGGACTAGGTTAATGGTATTTGACATAAGGATGACATGTAACCATGGGTTTGTCATAATGCCTTTTGGATCAAAGAGAGTATAAAAGCAGTACGCATTTAATTGTCTTTAGATACATACGCAAGACTGACATAATCGCAAGTATTCTGTCTCTTAAAGTGTTGTGCAACAATATACTCTTTAACTTCAATCCCCGGTGGGTTTGTGTTTCTATTGTGTACTATTCTATGCCCTTATCTTTTAGGTATACAGATGCACGACAAACTGAATCTGTCTGAAATATGTATCTGTAAATAATGAATGACAGGGTCTTAATCGAAACACATAGAAACATATTTCTGTTTGCAGAAAAGTGTTCTGTGCTGTTCATCATTCATTTTCAGTCTTTTTAACCCTCCAATTGTCTTTGTTTCCCCCCCCTTACTTTGGTGTTCGTGGTCAAATTTGACCGGTTCTGTTTTAACGGCTATTACATTAACACAAAAACCATTAATCATCACTAAATTTCATTTAACACCCTTTCAAACTGTAAATATTGTATCAGACTACTGGTATACATGAAGAACTGCAGTAAATATACAAAGAACAGACACTGAACATGTATTGTGAGTGCCAGGTGTGATTCACATTGGGGGATTGGGCACATAAGGGGGGGGGAACATATCTAGAGTATGTGAGTGTGAGTGTGAATGTGAGTGCGTGTGCATGTGTGGGAACACCATGGGTGTTACAAAGTTGACTAAATCATCCAAAATCCAATGAAAGTGGTGATCAGCAATTTTATATGTTCAAATGTCTACTGTGAAGGATATGTGGTAAAGCCTTAATGCAATCGAATTTAAAACAAAAAAGTTATGATTGATGAAAGTAGTAAATCGGTCAGATTTGACCCGAAGACAACAGGAGGGTTAAACCTCTACTATCTCCCATTCTGAGGTATGCTGTGTTATTAGGAATAATCTCTATCTATAATGTAATGATAGTACATGAAAGCCACCAAGCCCAAATCAAACTTACCTTACCTTCAAGAATGTTTGAGTCTATAAACATCTTTATCCTCAAACTGAAACAGTGTTTGATGTAAGAATGTGTGTAACTGTAAGCAGCCACCTGTGGTTTACTATCCGGTGCATCACCAGCCACTCTGGTTTAATGCCGTAGCGGTAGAAGCGCGCCTCCATTGCAGCGTATTGGGGGTCTTTGCTCCTCCTCTTCTCGTTGTTGAGCTCCTCCTCACCCGAGCCGTAGTCAAATGGCGGAGGTTCGTCCATGTCGTTCTTACGCTGGTAGTTCCGATACATGACCGCGTGATACAGCTCCAACTGCACAACCCCAGAGAGAACAATAAATTCTGCTCAGTGTCATTCAGCACTACCTCGAGCAAAAGGTTTACTGTAACTGCAACATATCAACTTTCCATGGTAATAAGACTAAGTACTTCAAGATCCAGAATGAATTCAATAAAGGAAGATGGATACAAAATAAATTAGGAAAGGAAGACGACTTCTCCAGGGCCAAATCTAAAGTCAAGCAATTGTTCAGAGTGACGTAGCTAAATTAAATGTGAGTCAGGTTTAAGTGCTTTGAATTGCTAAATCAAAGTAATTGCAGTTTAGAATAGTTTGATGTGTGAAACAAGGAGCATTTATATTTCTCTAAAACTGACAGCTAAATGGCTGAAGGAACAATTATGACCATTTTAAATCAAACTGTACGATGGTCCAGTGGAACTTCTCTTGGCTCGTTGTATGTGTTCCCCTTTAAGCAAAGTGGACAGGTACTGTAATTCCTCTGGCCCAATGTTAATTTCAGTTGGACCTACTTCTGGTATCTCACCTGCAGCTCGCTGACCCAGGAGCAGTGCCAGTATGAGAGGCCGGCCCACTTCACGTAGAACTCCCGCTCTGCGCGGCCCTTGAGCGGAGGGTTGATCAGCGGATCACCTGGCGTGCCGTCAGGACCCTCAGGCGGCTCTGCTGGAAGCGGGGGCTCTCCCCACGTCCAGTGCAGAATCTTCTGGACCTTACCTTTCAGGGGAGGGCACTGAGAAAAAAAGAGAGGAGCTGTAATACAGGCAGATATCTGTAGCAGGTTCTTAGAGCCGGGAACCTCATGGTGCTTTTCCCGGTACCGAACTTCCTTTCTAAAGCCTCGCTGTGAATCAAAAGCTGCAGGAAAAGAGGAAAGAGAGCCTCCCTTCTTCAGCTGCTACACACCAGTACCTGCGGAGGACCAAGCCCCGGTGTGTTTACCCGCGGAGGGCCGAGCCCCGTTCAACACGCTAGCAACACAGAGTGGGGTTCGCTCGTGTGGAGGCTACTGCCAACTGTCATCGCCGGCACCGAGCCCTGCAAGGCCAGTAGTCCAGGCCCTGTCTAACCAGGACGGGTGCCACTTCCATCGGCTGATCGGGTAGGCCTATGCTTACCTGTTGAGTGGATCTTGCCCCGCTCTTCACCTCTGGCTATTACGATGACGTATTTTCCTGTGTTCCTCTGCCTTGTCGTGGCATGGAGTTTTAGCGGCTATGCTATTGGCAAAAGACTCCTTACGCCCGCGGCTGGTTACCACAGATGGTGTGACATCCACACTGGGCCATGAACATAATGGATGGCTGTCGCATGTGATTAGTTTTGGAAATGTTTCTCATTATTGGAATTACTGCCCCTGGGTTCGCGGGGATCTGTTGTTTTCCTGGGGCCTTCACCGTGGGAAACCCTACAGATGCCCTTTGCCAGTATTCTTCTAACTCTTCTAGTCTCCAGACTATAACGAATTTAAGCAGAAGTGCTTAATTATGTTGCTTTTACTTCTGTCTGGTATTCAGCCTAATCCTGGTCCTTTAATGCCATGTAACACCCCAGCGGACTTTAAGAACTTGTCTGGGTTACACATCATCCATGTAAATGCTCGCAGCTTGCTTCCCAAAATGGATATTTTGCGAAACGTGAAACATAATCTTGCTGCACAGCCAGGTCATCCTCTCCAAATCTGCTATTAAGCAGTTTGAAATCTTAGCACTAAGAATTGATTTATCTTGTGGTCAGTTTTTAACTGTTGTTGGTTGCTATAGGCCCCCTTCTGCTACAAATGACACATTATCCTCGCTAATGCAGCTTTTATCTCAACTACAGTTTAAGGAAATCATCCTGGTAGGTGATTTTAACTGGGATTGGCTTTCACCAGTGTCTGATGATTTTAAAGCTCATTGAATGTCTCTCAACTTGTCATGATCACAGGTACAGATCAGAACCCAATAGCACGACTCAGATACAACCAGTGTATAGCAATGTTCAGTTTATTCAGGTCAGGGACAGGCAGGGTCAAAACCAGGAAATCCGTCAGACAGGCAACCAAAACCAGACAGGGAGCAGGCAGGAACTCGAGATCCGTAAACAGGCAGGCAGGGATCAAAAAGAGGGCTCACATTAACTGGTTTGATCTTGGACACATGGAAGGTAGGATGAATCCTCATAGAAGGGGGCAGACGCAGGCGGACAGCTGCAGGATTGATGACCCTAGATATGGGAAATGGGCCTACAAAACGGGGAGACAACTTCTTTGACTCAACTCTGAGAGGGAGATCCTGTGTGGAGAGCCAGACACGTTGCCCTGGGGAGTACTGTGGAGCTGGCTTGCGACGACGATTGGCGGTCCGTTGATAACGGTCGGAAGAGCGCAGGAGCGCGGAGCGGGCCTTTAACCACATGCGTCGACATCAGCTTACGAACGCCTGTGCAGATGGGACGGTGACCTCACGTTCCTGTGCAGGGAAAAGGGGTGGCTGGTATCCGCGGGAGCATTGGAATGGAGAAAGACCAGTAGCAGAACTAGGAAGGGTGTTGTGGGCATACTCAACCCATAGAAGCTGCCTCGACCAGGAGGAGGGAGTGGAGGAGGCTAGACAGCGTAAGGCAGTCTCCATCTCCTGGTTCATTCGCTCTGCTTGACCATTGAACTGGGGATGAAATCCGGACGAGAGACTGACACTGGCTCCCAGCAGCCTGCAAAACTCGGACCAAAAACAAGAAGTAAATTGAGGTCCCCGATCAGACACAACGTCACTGGGGAGACCATGCAGCCTGAACACATGTTGTAGCATGATTTCAGCAGTTTCCTTGGCAGTAGGTAATTTGGTTAATGGAATAAGCAGGGCAGACTTGGAAAACCGGTCGTATGACTGTGAGTATGACTGTGTTACCGTCTGGGGCAGGTAGTCCAGTGACAAAATCCAAGGAGATGTGGGACCAGGGTCGATGAGGGATAAGCAAGGGATGAAGAAGACCGGAGGGAGCTTAGAGTGAGGTCTATTTTGGGAGCAGACTAGGCAAGCAGCAATGAATTCCTTGGTATCCTTCTCCATGGAAGACCACCAAAATCGCTGTCGAATCAGGGCTAGGGACCGTCTCACTCCTGAGTGGCAAGCCAGGCGAGAGTTATGACCCCACTGGAGAACCTGGGTACGGAGAGTGGCAGGAACAAACAGACGGTTAACAGGACAGGCACTTGGGGCTGGGTGTTCAGCATGAGAGCGCTTGACCTTATCCTCCCAGGTCACCAGACCAATGACACATTTAGAAGCGATGATATTCTTGTTAAAGGCCTCTTTAAGGTCCCAGTAATCCTTGGGAACAACGGAAATGTCTTGACACTCAGAGGTAATCAGCTGACTNTTTATGCATGTGTGTATATATTATATTATTACATTATATTATATATATATATTATAGTGGTGCAGTGACGCGTCCTAGAGCGCGGCTTCCTTCCGGGTTTTAGGACGCGTCACTGCACCACTATAATATATATATATAATATAATGTAATAATATAATATATACACACATGCATAAACTTCACAGCGGGCGGAACTTGTCATAAAGTCAGCGAAAATAAAGCCCACCCATTTAGAGGGAAGATATGATTGGTCAATTGTACTGTCATTTGACATTACTCTCTCGTTGAGTAATGTAACGCCCCCATTGGACTCCTTTGTTTGCTTCTGTGTAACATAATTACGTAACAATAGCGCTTTTATTGGCTAGCGTTCCAACACGATGGTACCTGATTTTGGCTAACGGGCGGGGACATCTCTAAGCGGTTGACCATCACACAAAGCTGGCTAGCTAACCAATCAGAGCAGACTGGGCTCTGGTTTCAGACAGAGGGTGAAAAGAGGTGCAGCAGTATGAGGAAAATGAAGAGCTTTGTTAACATTAAAGTATGTAAACATGTCACAGTAGAGCCATGGCATTCAAATGTTTTCATTGCTCAAAGACGCTTTACAAGCAATACATTGTTTTAGAATGTTGTTACAGGACCTCTGGAAAAGCTGTGGTAAAAAGAAAGGTTTTTTAGCCTTGATTTCAAAAACCTCCGGGTATTATATGAGAGTTAACAAGTAAAAAGTATCCTCATATGAACTGTGTGTGTGTGTGTGTGTGTGTGTGTGTGTGTGTGTGTGTGTGTGTGTGTGTGTGTGTTTCTCTTACAGTGCTGAACCAGCTGGAGGAGCTTCTGAGTGACATGAAGGCTGATNCAAAAACCTCCGGGTATTATATGAGAGTTAACAAGTAAAAAGTATCCTCATATGAACTGTGTGTGTGTGTGTGTGTGTGTGTGTGTGTGTGTGTGTGTGTTTCTCTTACAGTGCTGAACCAGCTGGAGGAGCTTCTGAGTGACATGAAGGCTGATGTAACCCGGCTGCCCAACATGCTGTCCCGCATCCCGCCGGTGTCAGGCCGCCTCCAGATGTCTGAGCGGAGCATCCTGAGCCGCCTCACCAGCCGGGGCAGCGAGCCCCCCCCACAGCAGGTGAGCAGGGACTCAGTGCAAGAAGGTCAGAGGGTCTTCAGAAAACTCTCTTCCCTTCAAGAAACGATCATTTATAGATTTATTCCTCACCTGGTGTTAACTTGAATTTAAGAAATCTTTGTCCAAAAATGCTCTTAGAAATTGTGGTTAACTGTATATTCCATGTCTCATTTATCCATGATACAAATATATATATTTTAAATATATATATATATTTTTATATATAACAGTTGATAGAAAAAGTATTTTCAAAACAAACAGAAAATACTACAAAAATATATAAGACTCAATTATACAATAAAAATTTAAATAAAATGTACCTTAATTTGGCATAAATATTCCCAGTTTTTCGGTTCTTCTTTCAACATTGAAGTTGTTATTATATATTATTAAATGTATTTTTTAGGGGGATCGAATATTTTATTGAATAAGTTATCACTTATTTGAAAGTTCTGTTTGATTTCCTTAAAAAAAGCTACGGTTGCAGACAGGCGCATCACAGTGCCCCAAAACATTTCCATTAAGATAAACGTGCTGCAGTTTAAAAAACTACGCTAATAAAGAAACACAGACGTGCCAAAACACCTGGCAGAGTTAAGTGTGTTTCATAGCTGTAATTTTTGTATCAGTATATTTTGAATAACTAGGTAAGCTAGGTCAGCTAGCTGCAGATCTGCAATAATATAGGAACGATTCTTGGATCACATTTGTAAAATAAGTTTTTAGTTACTACATGCTGTAATGGTTTGTTCTTGGCAGCATATTACTATGCAGCGGAGGCTGGTGAGGAAATAAGGCGGACTGAAATGTGTGCAGGGCTGAGTACATTTCAGAAATAAAAAGGCTATGGCCCAAAAACGTTAAAGTGCTGTGTATCCACGACTCAGCAACCACATTATTTCTTCAAAAACCTGCGGAGACTTCCTATCCCCCACGGAAGACTTTCCCCAGGTGTAAAGGAAAAAAAGAGTCTGCCTCAAGTTGTTTACTTTCCCCACTGAGCTCCACGGTTCAGTCCCAGAGGATTTAACAAAGGCTGTATTGTCTCATCACTTTCATCTCTGCTGCACCTGTTCATCAGAGCTGAATGTGTTTGTTTTATTCTCTGTTATACAAGAGATCATTACAGCCAAACGCTGCAAATCCTCGTGACTGTGCTTTTTCGGTTGCTATGCCAACTTTTGCCGTAACCGAGGAATTTCTCTGACTTTGTGTTTTTAACTTCCTACCTTTCTGGCTCTTTCTTGAACTAAATCACTGTTGTATAGAATAATTATTTTTGCTGTGGCACTCTCTTGTTATCGTCACATAGAAGTGTGATGTAATTTATTTTAATGCAGCAGGATGACATGACCCCCATAAAAGATGGTTTTATCAAAATGTTGTACTGCAAAATGAGTTATTTTGGTACATGTTTCGATCATTCCCATAACCGAAAATAGTGGTTTAACTTAACTTTCGAAATAAGGATCAGAATATCACCCAATTTGGAAGGAATTCCTTACAGTAAATGACATAGTTTATAAAAACATGGTTGTGCTTTGTTTTTACTTGGGTAGGGGTATCCTAACTTTTAATTGCATAACTGTTGTACTTGAATGTTTTCGTTTCCCAGCCTTTCAGCCAGGGGGGGTTCGGCTGCTCCCAGATGTACAGCAGTAGCTTTGGGGGGGGCTTCAGAGGACCGGGGGCTCAGGCCATGGTCAACTTCAGCCAGATGCCTCTGGGACCCTACGTCAGCGGTAAGGATCTTCATTCACTGTAGGGTGCTGCATCATAGGGGAAGGAACACAGCTGCGCCTGGAGGTTGTTAATGACATTTTAATTCATAAATATTTGATTACTGAAGTGAATAGTTAATCAATAGCTCTGATGGACTAGACATCAAATATTTTGGTAACACATTCTATGATGCCCACGTCTATAATGCATTATAAAATCTGTGCTATATAATTATAATTATACACGCTCATACATATTCATGATGCTTTATAATATTAAAAATATATCAACAGATTAAACTGAAGTTTTTTTGCAAGCCCATGGATATAATGCATGATCAGAATTCCTATTATGGGTTATATAAATAAACTCAATATGAGATATAATTACTGTGCATTACAGTATATGGCATTTTAAAGTAATTATTATGAATGACAACTATTGAAATTAAAATGCACTATGAGCCTTGCAAAAAACAATATCACTGAGTGACAAGTATTATGAAGCACTTGACATTATAAACCATTATAAGTTTATAGTGTGTAATTATCATTGTTATAAAGGATGATGAATCCTTTTGAGTGCGTAAAACTATATTTATACAGTGCTATATTCACATTTTAATGCAATACAAGTATCTTTATTTTGCATTATGGACACAGGGGTCATACTGATATTTTTCTAACATAAAGAAGACATTTCCAGAAATGTAACTAATGAAATGAATGACTTGCATTCAGTTTAAACATATGCCAATGTGTTCGATGGTGGAGGTTATTACTTACATTTTTTGATGGCTGCTAAATTGAAACAATGTCAGGGATAATTCAATTAAAGGATCATGCAGGCTAATCATAATGTAGGTCTTATCTTGACCATTTCTATATGTAGTAATTAGAGTGTATAAGTGAATAACTGAGATCTGGAGCGTGGGACCCTGAACAGCCTGACAGTTATCATATCAGTTCACACCCTCAAAGACCTCAGATAGGGCAAGAAACACCAGCATTCATGTTTGAAACAGAGCCCCAGGTGAGCTTAACTTATTTGAGTAATAATTCCAATTCCTTTTGTTTTCTCTTCCAAACTGTCCTATCTATCACAGCTGACAGACCGACGTCCTTATTCAACTTTGACCTATCTTACTTACCTTAGTTGCATACACAATGAGGGTTTGCAGACATTTTGGGTATGCTCACTTTCAGTTTTGCTTTTTAATAAGAAGTGCTTGCTCTGTTTGAAAACCACTGAATCATTGTATGTCATAATTCTCACTATAATATGCCCAAACATTTATATTTATTTAGCTTTTACACACTAAAATATAACATCTTTCTTCCTCTTTAGTGTCCTCTAATGGCCCTCCGCCCTCTACAAGCCATCTGGATAAGAAGTCACTTGACTCCTTGAGAGACGTGGCCACGCCTGACCTCAAATCAGGCAAACCGAGTGATGTCATCTGCATAGAGGACTAGGCAAGCTTTGTAAAACTGATTTGAGGTCAGAAAAACTCCCAGGGATGGAATCTGTACGGATGGCGGCTTCCCATTTCCTCCCCCTTCTCTTTCTCCTGCTTCTTCTTGATTTACAATCAACAGTCCAGCTCTCTGATTAATGCAGATGTATCTAACCTAACAATTGCAGTTTTATCTTTCAAGGATCTCATAGTAGTAGATATCTGCTGTTGTTATTGTGTGCTGGAGAGCTAAAGGATTAGGAGGGAAAATGAAGCAGATTTTTTTCTGAAAGAGGATTTTAATTTCTCGCCTCGCGCTTCAAGGTGAAATTTGAATCTGAGATTATGATGCTTTTGATTGGGGCTCATTCTAATCTTCGACATTCTGCATACGCCATGTTGCTTTCTCATCCGCCTATTCCCTGTACACTGTGACTTCGTCCTGACGGAGCTAATTCCCTGTGAAGAGGAGTGGAGTTGAGGAAGACTTCGGTCATCATTTGAGAGGAGATCATTTTTCCTGAGGGCCAGTATTGTTACTTTAATGAATATGTGTTTTGTCATTCATGTAGTAACCAGTGGATATTGATTTGAAAGCATCAAAAACGCTCATCATGTATGCAGTAGCTGGACACAGTCTGTCTGAATCCTCTAAAGACTGCCACCCACTGGAAATTCGGAGTAAGTAATCTCCGCAAAACCTGCAGATAAACTTGACTGCAGTACCAGCAAGGGTTTGGCTTCTTGTACTGTACATACTCAGAGACTGCTGTTTATTTTACCTCACATAGGTCTAATCATAGTGAACATATGTATACAGAAGCCTGGCGAAATGAAGATGGCGCAGAGAAGAAGAAGGTGCAGGAATGGTTTTAAAACGCATTTCAGAGAAGCATTTCGGTGTATGGTACAATATTTGTGATTCTTCTTATATTTGAATGTTAGTATTGGCTGTAGAGCTTAAACCCCGGGGCCATGACCAGTGGGACTGCACTATAAACAGGAACTCTTCTGGTCTCATCATGCAGGGCTTTAATGTTCGGGCCTAACTGAGAACACAGTGGAGAGTTTCTTTTCCCCCTCTTACATACATCCCAGGGACTTTCCCAGTTCCCTTTCAGTGTTAGAACATAATGAAAACACATGTGCTTATAGCATAATGTCACTTTAAGTCTAGTATTTGTTGCAAAACTAGCTTTGCTTCGTTTTACGTTAGTTAAGATAAGATGTATTTGGTGCCATTAAAGAAGATACTCCAGTATGATTTTGTTCTTGGATGCAGTGTATTTCCTCCACAGAGGTGAAGACCGTACTGTACTGTTTCTAAAGATACAAATATTAACAGTCTAAACCTATATTTACAGGAATAATCTCACTTTCCAAGGACCAATTTCTCTCAGCATAACGTCTTCACTTCCTGTTTCGTGAGTTATGTTTTGGCTTTTTTCAAATGGTTTGTTGTTGCCTACTGCTTTACCTCATGTGAACACATGTTAGCATGGTATCGCTACATATCTTGTCCATACTGTTATGTGCTAAAGTGGCAGTCCACTAAGTGAAACAGTATTTTATAAACTGAATCTTACTATATTTTCTTTATTTCTACAAAGGCATTTCTCGATTGTGGACTTGTTTTTTTTTTTCCAAAGACAAGTGGCATTACATACATGTTTGTATTATAACAGCCATTGAAAGCACATATTTATCTTTGTCGGGACGACGATTGTGATTGGACTATTTCAAACTGAAGAGGTAATGTTGTACAGAGTTGGTGAGTGTATTTTCTTACTCTTCTTTTTGCAACTTCTTGTCCTGAGGTTCTTTTCCTCTGTCCAGTTTTCACTTACTTACAGTATATTGTGTTACTGGAACCCCTCTTAAATTCAGTTTCAACACATTCTCAGACTGATTTATTTTTTAAAGCAACAGGAAATGAACCTTGAAGTGCATCATATGAGTTTTTTGTGCTTTTCTCTGTTGGTGTTTATCAGTGCTGTTTTGTTCATGCCATCTATAATCGACCATGACATGTATTAGGTTGCTCGACGGATAGAACCTCAGAAAAATGTAAATACTTGAAAAAAAATTCAGAGATAAGTCCATCTCAAACAGATCTACGTATGGAACTGAAAAAAAAATGAATGTCTGCTGGATGGTGTTGCCATAGAGGGCACCGTATGTGCTCATTAATCGAAATCATGTCCTGGAGTGACGAGAGAACGTCAAAAACACGCCACTCCAATGAAATGCAATCAAACTGAAGTCAGTATGAATGTAATGTCTCTTAGAAAAAAAAGGCTTCAGTCTAATATTATAAATATGTTAACAATGTATGTACATGCTTATTAACATGGCTTCAAAAGCTACCAAAAGACCCTGATAAAAGGCACCTTTGTTGCAGCGAATGCACATGCGCATGTGAAGCGTTTGATCTAACGGTTCACTTTGGGGAGGCGTTAGCGTATCTAGCATTTACCGACAATGAGCTCCAAGCAGTGTTAAAAGTTCTGATATTTGTGCTGTATAGCAATTGAATGAAAAAGTGAATTATCATCTTTTTATTTGTATTCTGTGTATTTGTTCAATGTGTTTTAATAAATCTTCTGGACAACAGTAACATTGTGTCATTGCTCCTTTCTCTGCAGACCTGCATATGAATAATTGAGTTGAGTTGAAAAGGACTTCAGATTTCATTAAACCAATTGACCATCTGGAGTTGACCTCTTAAACGTGTTCTTTCTGCGTCTTCCAGGGCATGAGCAAGCAGTCCTTTATATGTGATTAGAGGCAGAAATAGAACCACCAGTGTAGTCAGGGAGGGATACAAATAGCAGAAAGAGGGCATTCACTAAGTAGTCCGAGTTTAAAGGAGCCCTATTATGCTAATTTTCAGGTTTTATAATTGTTTGTTGTTCCTCTACTTTTCATGTTGACATTCTTTAATGTTCACAAAGTGCTTTATTTTTCTCATACTTCCTGTGCTGCAGCACCTATTTTCACCCTCTGTCTGAAACCACAGCCTAGTCTTCTCTGATTGGTTTACTGGCCGGCTCTGTTGTGATTGGTCAAGCGCTTATAGATGTCCCGCCCCTTAGCCTGTCATGTACAATGTGTTGAAGCACTAGCCAATAACAGCACCAACTATGGATGTAAACAAAAGAGTCCAATCAAGGAGTTTTAGGCATGGGGGGAGAGTGTGTGGGAGAGGAACTGTGGGACTTTAGCACTTTAGAACATTTTAATAACAATATCATACAGCAAATTGTACTCAAAGTTTTATATTCTGCTGTCTCTCAAGAATCAGAATAAATACTGATAGAGACCAAATCAAACAATATGTAGGAAAGTGGAAAGGACGTACACATTTGAAAATGATATAATAATTACTCTTTGAAAGTATATAAACTTAACAAAAAAAGCATTACAAACAAATAAGTGAATCAGGTATAAAGAAATTAAGTAGTTGCAGGATAACCATAGCAAATACTTTATTTACTATATGTATATTGTACAATGTTATATAACATTATTATTAACATTGATGTTACAGATATTGGTTGGTACAAACAGATTAGGCAGTCAGTGGGAGAATCATAACATAGTAGGTTGCACAACAGTGGTGTTGTTGTGTGTGGTGGTCTACCAGGGGCTGTGGTGGTTATGCAGTCTGACAGGGTGTCCTGGAGGGGGCACGTTGTACGACAATGACAGCTTGGCCATTGTTCTCCTTTCTCCCACATCCCCCACAAAGTACATTGTTTTGCCTCTTTAACTCTTTTGTTGTGTTTGATTTGAATGCAAGACATATTTCCTGCGTTTTCCAGCTGCTGTTTAACTAAATACGTGTCCCAATGAGAAACAATCAAATGAAGTAATCATTTGTACTTTGGTAAATGTATGGCCCACTGCAATAAAACAAGCTATAGTTGAAGAGAAATTCCCCACTCCTTATAAAAGCTTTCAAAGGGAGTGGGGAATCATTTATCTGCTTTAATTGATATTTTTGCATCATTACAATTTGCAATTGAAGATACTGCACTCCTTTTATTATGATTATTTTTGAGTTGGATATCATTGTGCTTACTTAATGTTTTTCAAGACAGTACAGGCTCATTTACAGGCTGATGAAACTCCATGGAAACACACACAGTTTACATGGTCAACGAAAAGATGATGGCAAGATGTTTGTGCTGCTTTACACTCAGCATGTTCATTCCTAATTCTTATGTTTTATTTGTTATGCTCAAGACATTCTTTCCATATCCTCAGAATTCCTAATGTTTTCATTATTGTTTTCTTGAACAGTAGGATATAGTGCAGCATATACTATTTGATAATACTTAATGTAGATGTTGAATAAGTGAATGAACACTGGTTCCCATCTTTCATGCCTTCTCAGTCCTTTTATAATCTACTAGGTGTGTGTGTGTGTGTGTGTGTGTGTGTGTGTGTGTGTGTGTGTGTGTGTGTGTGTGTGTGTGTGTGTGTGTGTGTGTGTGTGTGTGTGTGTGTGTGTGTGTGTGTGTGTGTGTGTGTGTGTGTGCGTGCGTGCGTGCGTGCGTGCGCGTGTACCTGTGCCTGCATGTATCCCAGCAGCGGCTCCAGCAGCGCTGTCTTCTTCTTGTACTGCAGTGTGTTTAGCGAGCAGAAGTAGTGCATCATGGTCTGGTGCTGTTTCTTGCGGGAGGTGTAGACATCCTCCACGGCCTCCGCCCGCAGCTGAAACACACAGGACTTTCTTCTAAAACCAGTATCAAGGTTTTTATCATGAGAGATCTTATCCTATGCTTCAGGTCAATATAGTCCCCTTATGCCATTGCAATATATGCCCTTTTTGTGAGACAGCTGCTGGTTTACTTACTTTATAGAAAATAAAATCTACCTGCAGGAACTTAACCCTTGCAGCAAATATAGAAGAGAGTCTTTACATCCTTGCAACTGCATCCCCAGTCAACTCTTGAACAAAAGACACTTGAGCAAAGGTTTCTTTAAGATCTGCAAGTTGAGTTTTACAAAAATGAAAAAAATATATATATAAGAATCTTTTTCTTTTTCTATTGTAAAATGTGTCTCTGCAATAGAATGTTTTTTTTTACCAAAGTTTAAATTGAGCTTTTTTAATGAAAGGAAAAGGAAGGGATATCCTCTAGATATTAGAAACGTATAAACTCAAACAGTCAGAGTTTAATTTGTATTTATTATCTTTTGACTGAACTTCTGAGTCAATTATAAAATAAAGTCACATATCTATACGAATATTGCTTATTTGAATATTGAATGAGTGACAGATGAACGTGATGTGAGGAGGTTTGCTTACCTTGTCGTTGTCTCTCTTCTTGGACAGACGGCTGAATCTGTTCATGGCTACATCATGATCTGCAGACACAAACAGGAAGGGAAGACCTTTACACATCTTTATCTTTTCACATTAACCAGTAAGTACCTTTAAGATTTAGATCATTTGTGAGTTACAATCAAAAACAAGATGAATGTTCCTGTGTGTGTGTGTGTGTGTGTGTGTGTGTGTGTGTGTGTGTGTGTGTGTGTGTGAGAGAGAGAGAGAGAGTGTGTG